CCGCTCACCAACACTCGTGTGTGTGTGTGTGTGTGTGTGTGTGTGTGTGTGTGTGTGTGTGTGTGTGTGTGTGTGTGAGCGTCAGAAGGCTGAACAATAATCTGTAGAATAATTAAAGTCATCATGCCAGAGAAGCTTCTCTGTGGTGGACCACACCAGCTTCTGCCACAAAATAAATAAATAAATAAATAAATAAATAAATAAATAAATAATAAATCACACACAAAGTTGTGAACATTTTAATTTCCTTTCTGAACTATTTCTGTTGAGTTTTAATGTTTAAAATCTGTTAGCTTGTTACTGACAGCAGCTACGTTTAAGTCTCACTTCCTGTTGTGACTGAAGCTGCTGCAGCATGGAGGTGTAGCTCTCAGTCATCCTGGACATGATCATCCTGAGAGTTTTAGCTGAAAACAGCTGGACGTTTCTGGATATGTTGGAGACATTTAGCCTCTCATCCCAGAGGCTGCTTCCAGACTTTGGTTGTGGTCAGAAACAAACACACTGGTTGTGCTGCAAGTCTTTCTTTTTTTCTCCTAAACATGTTTTAGTCTAAATGAAGGTGATGTTATTGTTCATAGAATTAAAATTCATGTTGAAGTTAAGATTATTTCATCAAGTAGGACCTGTGGTTAGCTGGCTCATGTAAAACATGTCATGTCTTGAAAGAATCGGAATCGGGAATCGATAGGAACCGCAATTGAAACGAGGAATTGGAATCGGAATTGTTCAAAATCAAATGATGGCCAACCCTATCAGTGAATAGTTTTTTAAAATATATTTTATGTGCAGTTTTTTATGGCTTTTATGTTTTCTGTAAAGATTGTTATGCTGAAAATTATTTAATGTTTTGCATAAAGCATGAGGTTTTGGTTAGTAATTGATTGGGAGAATAACAAATGACTGACTAGGATAGTGTTGATCAGGCAGAGCTTTGTTGCCAGCGGTCCATTGCACAATGGCTTCAAACACATATAAAAGTGTTAGTTTTTTCATAAACCATTGGATGAAATTACAAAAACTGACTGAGCTCTAGTTAAGGCTCTTGCAATAGTTTGTGTATGTGTACGTGCGTGGGTGTGTGTGTATATGTGTTTGGGGGAGGGTACGTTGGAAAATTGTCCCCCCAGTTTGAAAATTCTATCTGCGCCCCTGCCTGACGCACATGGAGGGGCAGAGAGTTCCAGAGTTTGGGGGTAGTGTGTGAGAAGCCACGCTCACCCTGAGATTTATAGCGAACCTTCGGAACAATCAGCAGCAGCTGATCAGCTGAACGAAGGGCACGAGTGGGTGTGTAGAGATGCAGCAGGTCGGCCAGGTAAGAAGGTGAAGGGCAGTTCAAAGCCTTGTAGACAAACAGTATTACAGCATTATAGAAATGAATGCAATATGTAAGTGGAGCTCTTAGAGATAGGTGTCTTAACCCTTACCCAACGTTTAAATTTTCTAACGTTAAAGTCATTAGAGCACAAAAAAATGCTCTAATGTGAGGTAAGGGTTAAATATGATACATTTTGCATTTTAGGGTTAAGAAACGTGGCTGTTTTAATCACACAAGTGGGATTTGGTTCAGTCCAGATAACAGTCCTTTATGCTTAGGGGGCTTTGTAAGAGAGAATAAACAAAACGGTAGAAGAGCAAGGCCGAACAATATGTGGGGACCAGATTTTAGTAATTATCTACAGTTCAGTAGGTTAACTACAAAGCCAGGATTATTCAAAGCTTCTTCCCTGAACTTATGGAGAATGGAGAAGAGAAAACATTTTTTTAATGTTTTACCACCTATTTCAGCTTATGTTCACTTTGACACCCCTCGTTAAAATGATGTTCATCCGCAGCAGGCATCTGTTTTTACCAAAAAGATGATTAATTAATTAGTAAACATCCTGTTAACAACTGGGCAAAAGTGACCAATTATCAATTAAATATTTTCAATTTGGCAGGTGAAAGAAAAATATGCATCAATAGAAAATCATAGTTTTTTTTAATTAAAGCTCTTTTGTGTCTTCCAAAAATAATTCAAGTTAATTTGCAAACATTCAGCTATAAAAATTATATTAGGTCTTTTGGTTTAAGAAAAATAAGTGTTATCCGTGCATTTATTTGTTGTAGCGACTGCATGTGAAGTAAAATTGTTTACTTTAATTCACGTTTTACTGTGTAAAACACAGCTGGTCCCTAAATTGCATCATCTATGTTGTAATCAGTGTTTAAGGCTCACATCTAATTAGATAATTTTTTACTAGCATCTCCCAAAAGAAAGAGCCCTTTGATAGTTGCATCTTTTTCAGTGCATCTGTATTTAAAGACCAAGTTCACTAGTTTTATTTTAAACACATTTGCAGTGGTCTTTAGTATAAATACATGAGTTGGTCTCTGTGGGGAAGCCAGAGGAGAGGTGAGCAGAAGACGGCAGGATTTTGAGTTTTATTTCCTGATATTCTGACATCTCTCCTCTAATTGGCTAATGACAACACGACTCTACCACTGACTCTGGTTGCCTTGTATCGTTGATGTTTTATCTCTGCAAATAACACAAGCCTGAAGGAGTTCTGCTGTGTTGTGGAGTTGCTAATGCCAACAATTAGCTTCTACTACCCAAGATGTTCTCCTGGATGCTAAATCAAGATAGCCCTCCCTATCGCGAACCAAGATGGGTGAGTCCATGAACGAAATTTTTCAATGTGATGTGCGATTGTTGGGCTTTTCTCATCTGAGCATTTATTTTCTGTCTGCGACTAACGCAGGAAATAGTGGTAGAAGATTACTTAGCAATGCTAAACTCAATTATCATTAATATTGTTTATTCACCAGAATGCTAATTAACTTAGTAAGTTAAACAATGTTAAAGTGTCAATGTTCACCTTTTTAATACTGTCAGTTACTTTTGTATTTTTGATTTCCTTAGTTTTCTCTTTTAGATCTATTTTTATATATTTGTTTAATCTCAGAATTTCCTAAGTTACCAACGGCCCCTCTAAAACCACCTGTTCTCACGGAAAGGCCTTATCTACTTGTACCTGAGCATGATTATGAATGTAGCAGGTTTTCTGTGCAGCGACAATCAGACAGCCGAGGAATGAAAGCAAACTCGGTGCGGTGCCTCCACCGATGCTATTTTTAGAAGAAAAGAGACAACAGCTATTAAATATCTTTGTAAATGTGTGCACAGGGGTGCTCTGCATGGGCCCTGGCATACTGTTTTGTGTGTTTTTGCATGCCCCTTTGTATGATTGCGAAAGTCATGAACACATTTTATTTGCACAAGTAGGGCAGCTGTATTTCATTACAGTAAAATAAACAACTCCAGCTGCTGTGCAGTCTCTCAGGGCCAGGCAGGTTGAGTGTTATTGTTGCTTTATGAGGTTAATGAAGTTCTGAAGTAACCAAAAACTTCCCAGTTATACTTTGCTAACAGAGACATTGATGTAGCTGTTTGCAATATTCTATATTACATTTTAGGTCTTTGGAGCTAAACTGGCAAAAAAAAAAAAAATCAAGTTGTGAAAAATTGGGAAGGATTTAATTGTGAACAAAAAGCTCATCACTACTTGTGTTGTTTATTTGTACATGTACATGAATGTGTAAATACATGTAGATCCAGAAATGTTTATCTAGAATTTGATATTTAGAACACATTTTTTTTCTTGTGAAAGTAATGACTGATAATTTTTAAACTTTGAGCTAGAGCTTCATCAATGATCTTAGTGAATGTTGAATTAGAAACTTGACCAGTTTCATATTTGACACCACTCTGCTGAACAAAAACAGCACTCTGTAGTTTTGTGGAGCGGGTAGGTGTTCTATAAGGGAAAGCTCTTCACCTGCTTTCCGGTTGTTAGCAGTAATGCTAGCGGTCAGCATTTTCAGTTCGCCGATCATCAATAAAATACAAAAAGAAGAAAAATAAGAAGTTTGCTTTGGCATCATGACTGAGACTGGAAGTAAAAGTAAGCGAGTAATGTCTTTTGAGGCAAAGAGCTAAAACCAGCGTAACCATCACGGACTGATAGTGACCTGGCTTTGTTGCTTCTGGATTTGTAAGTAATAATATTTTTTGTGTGGATCTTTTTAATTTGTCGAATATTTGATCTTTAGCTGGTTCGTGTTAGCATTAGCTCAATGTTGGCTCTAGCTACAGCAATTACATTCTATTCAAGTTTATTTATGTAGCGCCAAATCACAAGTCGTCTCAAGGCACTTCACACAGTAAACATTTCAATGCAGTACAGTTCATTAAGCCAATCCTCATACTGAGCAAGCATGCAGGGTTGTTTTTGACCACTTTTAACCTGTAGGGTGGAGGAGCAGGAAACAGCTCACTGTTACTTTAATGTTTTTTCTCCATGATTCTGACGTCTGACAGTGAATCTGAAGAAGCCCTTGCAGAACTCTTCCTTGGGAGTTATGGCAGTGACGCGGTTTCGTTGCATGCATCAATCCCCACCGAAATAACCTTTTTAAATTATTATAAATCTTTTAAATCCTCACAGTCTACTCCCATAATTGTTGACATTTTGGTTCGTACTTTCTTTTATTTGTCTTTGTAAAAATCTGTGTGGTGTCATATATTAAATTGTTATTCTCCACTATCAGAATAAAGGCCTCGCCGTCCATGCGGAAAAACAGACCCATGCTCTCTTCAAAAAAATCACCAGTGATCACTAGTGATTTAATGCCTACTTTGTTAAAGAATTGCAAATCTGCATTTGTTTTTTTTATTTTGAAATGTATTGGATGTTTTACTCTGATGCCATGGATGTCTCCTGTGTAGCCTTACATTAACTGCAGAGCTAGATGTGTTCTTGAAGTGTGCCACGTCAAGGTAGAACCCAATTCTTTCTTTGGCAAAGTGGCAACAAACTTCTGGGACACACCTGAAGCATTCAGGCACTTCCAGGTATAAACCAAACCATTATTATGGCTTCTAACTGCCGTGGAGACGTGCCGCTGCTGTATTACACTGCAGCGGGGGCTCGTCTCTCAGCTGTTTTGCCTACCTGAGCAGGAGAGTAAAGCCGACAGCGATGGTGTGCGTGCCCCTCGTGAACTGAAGCTCCTCCCCCTGCTCCGTCTCTTAGAGGTGCCATCATCGTTGCACTCAGACCTCCGACCGACCCTGCTGTAATTACGCCAGGTGCTGAAGGGCCCATGCCCATCCCCGCTGCAGCGCTACCAGTGGCCCCAGCTATGGCCCCAATTCCTCCCATCATGCAGCAGAGGCCTCCCTGAGCCAGTTCCAGTTCAATTTCTGCATCCATCTCTGCATCCTCCTGCGCTTCTTTGTTGGAATCATCCAGGTGTTTCATGAGAACAGCGACCACAACATTTATCAGAACAAACTGTGCTGTGAGCACGAAAGACACAAAATACATTGGAGAGATGAACTGGAGTCCAGCGTGGCAGCCATAGTCGCCACCGGGACGACCTGGTGGGCATTCCCTCAAAGTGTCCTGATGGCAAAAAGAGATTTTGTTTTTAGGGAAAGGAAGTACAAAAGCATTTAAACATCAAATGATGATTTATTCCTCCTACTTGTTCTCCTTTTTTAAATCAACATCATTTGAGCTTAAGACACAGTCATTGTTTTATCTGATCTACATATTAGTGTTCAATTACAATTCTGATTCTTGACTCATGTTGTGGCACTCAGTCCAATACACATTTAGGCAAATTCACTGGTATTGCATGGTGCATATGCTGTTTGCATGTTTGTGACTCCTTTCTGCAAATGGCGATAATTACGCAACAGACTGAGTAATTTGCACTCGTTTTGCATCTAATTGAGCTTCATAAACAGAAGATAGGTGCAGCAGAGACAAAAGATACAATGAGACAACATATATGTTTTCTCAGTGAGCTGCAACATTGCAGGATTACATTTCTAGATTAATAAGACATTTTATGTTCCCAGACCTGCGTCTGCTGATTTTTATTTTATCTAAAATAAATATAAATGGGAATTTAACTCAATTTTAATATGTTCACGATCTTATTTAAATGTGGGCAGATTGCACCAGAGTGGCAGCACAGAATGAGGTGTAAATGTCCTTTTGCCTGGGTGTCGTGGTTCTGCCTTCTCTCTGCTGCTGTTGCTCTTCTCCTTCATTGTTTGCAGGTGAGCGTGTTGGGGAGCCGCAGCTGCAGCTAATTACCATCAGCCTGGCCAGAGGATTTAAGGAGCGGCGCTGCCACACCTCATCGCCAGTTGATACCCTACTGTTGGGTGCATCAAGCCACGCCCTGACCTGTGGCGTAGTTCTGAAATATGGTTTACCTGTACTAATCCTGCCCTGTTGTCTCCTCTGTACCAGCCCTGGATTCTCGCCACCTGCCTGAGGTGTGCCTTATCCCAGCGTCGTTCAGCTTCCCTGGCCTCTTGCTCTCCACTGCTCACCTGCCTTCCTGGATCCACATCTCCTCCAGCGACCATCTCCACCCTGCATCAGCCTGACTTGCCTCTCCCTCCTGCCCTCGCCCTGCTCTACTCAGCAAGCCCGTTCCCCTCATTGTTATCATTTCCTGGTTCTCAGTTTCTAGTCACTCACACCGCTGTTCTTCTTAGAGCCGGAGCCGCCTCGTTTCCTGTTCACGTTTGGATCAGCGCCCTTAGTTACCCCTTTTGTTTTTACTACAATTAGAGTACTTTATTATTATTTCTTACCTTCATGTGTGATTCTTCATGTGGGTTAAGAAATTACCACCCATCATGACAGAGGGATTTGAGAATTAGGTTGAAATGGTAATTTCTAAATTGCACTTACATTTGATGCACTACCCTGGTGAATTAAGGCCTAGTCCACACGTAGCCGGGACTTCTTAAAAACGAACATCCGCCCCTCAAAACTTGCGTCCACACCACCTCGTTAAAAACAAACTCTGTCCACACGTACCCGGATAAATACGTTAAGGACATGCCAGACCTGTAGGCAGCAGTACTTCCCCCGTTCTTAACCTCGTCCTTCGTCTGTGGTCTTCCACAAGGAGCAGTAATTCCTCTTACAAAAACAAACAAGCAGAAAGCGCTTGGACAATTGATGGATCGGGTAGTGACAGAGCGCAGCTCTGAGGGCATCCATGATGTCGGCTAGTGTAAACACAGGTCGCACACGTGATGTCAGCAGTTATTTGTCGTAGAAAGTGACGTTGCGGACCTTAAAACTCCGGTTTTGTCCGTCCACACGCAGACACCCAAAACGGAGAAAACGCAGATCTTCACTTTGGCCGGAGTTTTTAAAAAGATCCGTTTTCGTGTGGATGACAGGCCAAAACGCAGATCCCCGGCTACGTGTGGGCAGGGCCTAAGGCTGCTGTGACATCTCCATTGTTCATATGTAGATAGATGATATGATCAAAACTCATCTAGGCTGACATACCTTCATGATGCCATTCCAGTTGTCACCTGTTGAAACTTGAAAGAGTGTGAGAAAGGCCATCCCAAAGTTTTCAAATGTAGCATGGCGGCTCATTCCCTCACAGGGGTAGTCAGCGTTGCACACTTTGTGGGATGTGGTGAGAATGACAAACAGAAGAAGAAAGGCAAAATTATTTTGTTATTAATGGTGTGATGTTACTAAGTTTAATGATTATTCCCATTGTGTTGTGAATATCAGTTAATTTACATTTAGAATGAAAGAAATGCCACATGCATAGGAAGGAGTGAATAAAAAGAGGGTTTTATTCTCTAATAGACTAACCTAACTCGCCAAAAAGCTCCACTCCCAGAGCTGCATAGATGAAAAACAGCAGCATGAACAGGAGGCCCAAGTTTCCCACCTGAAAAAATAAAAGTTGAACGCCTGAAAAAATCCTGTCATGATCAGAATATCAAACAAAAAAAATCTAAATCAACACAGTCAATGATACAATTCCACAATTTTGCAGTGAATTTACCCCCCCCCCCCCCACCCCCACCACACACACACACACACCCCCACCACACACACACACACACACACACACACACACACACACACACACACACACACACACACACACACACACACACACACACACACACACACACACACACACACACACACACACACACACACAAAGGTGAGGCTTCCAAAGCATGTGACTCTCTAAATCTTTCAGATGGCGAATTTGGGCTGGGAGACAATAAGACCAACAGTGTTTCTTAGAGGAGGTGATGATGGGGAGAAATGAAGAAGTTAGGGAAACCCAGAGGATAGCTTTTCTCTTCACAGCTGCACATGATGAAATTTACTGGTGAGTATTAAAAGCCACAGCTTGGCCTCAGGCAGTTTGTGGGATGTAACTCGAACCCTTCTGATGTCTTAACTTCCTTTGGGAGAAGAATGAAAGCCCACCACAGGGAAGGAGGACACTGTGTTATGAGACTGGAGATTTCTAATGGAAATTTTAAAGTTGGTGATTAACTCACTGAAACTAGTGAGCTGCTAATATAACCGCACTTTTAAAACTAGAGAGCATTCTTCTAAAATCACATTTGATACATGGAGAGTAATTGATATTGGACATCTGTTCTTGTATCCCTGCAGCGATGGACAGGTAGATGATAAAATGCATACAACTTGTTACATCATTCCTTGAGGAAAAATAAAAGCAAACACTGGTTTCAGGCACTGAGTTTGATGAAAATGCAGGCTTCCCTCTTTTTTCATAATTAAACGTAATGGAGTTTAATTAACAAAATTAGGATTTTACTGCTTTTATCATTACATTTTTTGGTGTTATTATATTTTACTGGACTGCATTCATTGTCTTATTTGCAAAAACTTGCACAAGTTTGAGTCTCAACTTTTTGACATGATGCATATGATCAACATGGAAGCAAAAGCCCAAAGAGGTAAATTAGTCCTCCTGGTTGTAACGGCCACCATCTCTTTAAAATTGATAAACACATGCAGACCGACTCAAAAGGCTAAACAACATGAAGTGTCTCATCTCCGCTGGCGACCGGAATCATTCCTTCTCTAACAGAAGGAGCAGACAAGTAGAGGATTTTTATAACGATGCATGCAGAGATGAAATGCATCAGAGTAAAAATAAATAAATAAACACAAGGTCACAAAATCAAATATTAAGTGTCTCCTTTTCTTTTCTACATTGCCAAAATAAAGGAGGTGTCGTTCTTCATTTGTTTTCCTGTCAGTAACTTACATTCTGGTTTTTTTTTGTGTGCCTATTTTAGATGTTTGGAGGCTCAGCAGGCTTCTGTTTTTTCCTCAAGAAAATCATGAAAAATTGAGAAAATACTTAAACGGTCTGGACTTGCATCTCTGTTGAAACAGCATTTATATGCAAGGTGCTCTGTTGGGCTGGACCTATTACATTCGTTGTTGGTTTGAAGTGAAAGTCAAATCCTTGTTTTTTTTGTGCCAAAAAAGGGGCTGTGCACAATAAGGATACATTATTTAATTTACTGTTGAGACCTGGTTTTAGAATCACTCTATAAAAAAATCATTTAGAAATGGTTTCTAATGACTAATTAAATTAAATTTCTTGAATGGTGTAGTCTACAACAGAAAATGGTGTTACTGGGTTTATATGAACTGAGCTGCAAAAAAAAGACAAAAATCAGCATGACTCATCACACAATTTGTCAGATGATGTCATGAGAAAAATATAAATGTACAGGACTGCCAATAAATAAATCCGTTTCTCTACAAACCTCATAGAGGCCAACACACAGAAAAAATACACAATCTTTATAACATAACCTGGAGAAGCCAGAATTTGAACCACTAACCTTCTGACTGATTTAAAATGACCATATTGAGACACGAGGCGCAAAAGTAAGTATGCAGTGTATGCAATGCATAGGGGTGACAGGCTGTAGGGGGCGCCAAAGTGATTATGCCAAAAATATTTTTACTCTGCATTTCCTGTGTTTTATAATAATAATGTTAATATTAATGTTATGTGTCTGCATACCCATCTGAAAGTAGATAGTTTCCCGCCTGGAGTCAAATCACAGGTATTTCCTGTATTAATGGAAATATCTTACATTTCATTTCGAATTGCTTGTTTCAGAGATTGGAAACAAAGTCTTGATAACAACTTATTAAAGCCTTACTGTGCAACTTTTTTCATTCTTTCAAATCATTTCCTTGAGCCAGCATGTGCTAAAAAGATCCCTTTACAGGGCTAATGAAATGTCCCTCAGACCCTGTTATATATGTGCAGCTTCATACTGGCGGGCTGCCATGTTGGGACTTGGAAAAAATTGAGCTGACATACCTGGTGCTGCATTCTGGTTCCAGCATGTTTTAGATCATGAACACAACTGATTTGTTTAATCTAGTGATGAATCACTCTTGTTGACACTAAGGGAGGCTGGGAGACGTTTCAACAGTTAGATTAACGTGTTAAAAATACAAATGCAGAGCGAAGAGATACGTTTTGCTTTCGGTTTGACCACAGAGAATAATAATGGACACTAGGGGTTGCTAAAAGCAAGCAAAACTGCTAAGTGTGCCTTTAACAGAGTCTGGGAGTTGCTAAGTGACGTCCTAATTGAGATAAAACATTTTGCAGAAAACAGATGATGAAGAAGAAAGTAAATGTCCAAAAAAAGGCAAAAAATAACAAAATCAAACATTTAAACATCTGTATTTACTTAACTACAAATTGAAAATAAAAATGTCAAAAATTTGGCTCTTAAAAGTTTTTTTTTTTCAAGGAAAATAACAAAAAATTCAGTTGTCCAATTATTTCTAAACATGTCGGAATAACATAAAAATGTTCAAATGTTTTAAAAGTGAGCAATTTTGTGTCCTGTGGGGGAATGAAACGTTAGCAGCACTCGTCTTATTAAGAGTTTTGGGGGCAGAACTCCTAAATTAGCACAGCAAAGGCTCAGTTTAACATAATAACCAGAGGAGAAGCTGAAAGTCGGCAGCATTCTGTGAAATTAGAGACAAAAATGTAGTCATACCCTCACTTTCTGAAAGTCATAATTCTGAAAGCATTTATGGATTCTGGTCGTTCATCGTTTAACAAATGTTAATTAACTGCTGGATGTCCTTGCGATAAGCTCAGAGAGGTCGTGCGTGTGTCTTCTTACCTGAGGCAGAGCCTGGACCACCGTGTCCAGCAGAGCTCTCATCCCTGTTGCCATTTTCAATAACTTTAACACTGAGAAGAAAACAAAAAGACAAATATAGTTTTTTAAAGTTAAAATTTTAAATTTGAGAGTTTGACATTTTGGAACCTTAGTGTTAGTCACAACCGACACGCAGATACAATACAGAAACTTAAAACAAACAATCGATACCAATGGGATAAAGGACCAAAGCAGAAGGCAAAGAGAGAAAGAAATGATCAATGAATGGAACGGGTTTCTTGACTATTCACTGGAGACCCCCAATTATTCCCACAGGTCCAATTTCTGGATGAACAAGGCTGATGCAGTGGCCAGAAGCACAGAGAAAACCACATGTGTGTACAGCATCAGCGACCACTCAGACAATGTAACCTCCTGGGAGCTGTTCTTCTCCACACATGGTTGATGATGGGGATATTTCCCTCTAAGGTGGATGTGGTTGTAATGAGGGGCAACGCTAAATGATTCATCTACTCTGCAAGCCCTATGAAAAAAAGTGTTTTAACTAAAATGGCTAAAAGGTTCCTTTCATGAGAAAATGAACAGGTTTTGAAGTGTTGGTACAAAGTTGGATACCAAGGGAATAAAAATACAAAATACATATTCGAGGTGTTGTACTTAAAAGCCAGGAAGAAGTAAAAAACTCTGAAGCACCAATCTGAATTTGGGAGCAGAGTAGTGCATGTGTGGAGAGGTAAACTCCACAGATTTGGGTCATCCATAGAAAAATTAATGGATCAATGATCACCAAGAGAAACTGGTTGGCTGATCATTCTGCTTTTAGTTACATGTTTATGAAATTTGTTGGAAATGATGTGCGAATCTTTTAAAATCTTTGAAAGGGAATCTCAAGCCATCCAGAGGGAGATGCCACGTCTGGAGTTATGTTTTTGCTCTCATGGTGCAGCCAGAGTGAAATAACTACCGTGCATGTTTCAGCATTAAGTCTCTAAATGATGACTTAATTTTAGTCCTCAGTCCCAGGCAGAAGCCAACACCCTTAGCAGAAGTAAAATTTTGGTTCTCTTTATTTGTTTGGCTTTGTGATTGTCTGCAAAGAACTTTGAAGCCCCATTAGTTGCAGCTTGCTTGAATGCAAGATACGTTTTAGTTTATCCACCAAAAAGCTGGAAACTAGGGTTGATGTGATTGTTTTGAATGATTGCAGCAGAAAACAAAACAAAACAAAACAAAACAAACAAAAAAAAAAACAGAGTGGTTGAGTGTGTACATCTAATGGGCCATTCCCATCAGTACCGGGTCGGCCCGGGCCGGGTAGCGTAGGTTGTTTACATATCTGGGTGGCCTGGTATTTTTCCGGGCCAACCAAGGCTCATTCTCAGCCCTCTTCTGGAGGGGGTCTGCTTCAGGCCGACCAGGGCCAACACACCCACTGCTGACAGCAAATTCACACCTTCCATTAGAGCAAGCCTCTGATTGGTGGGTAGAATCAGCCCACATGGGCTTAAGACAAGGATGTGTGGAATCAACCGGGCCAGGCTGGGGCCGACTGGGGCTACCCGGCCCGGGCCAACCCGGTACAGATGGGAATGGCCCATAAGTTATTTAGGTCCATCCAAAGTAATAAGCTGGAAGCCTTAATCCTAATGTGCATGTAGGTAAGACAGCCAGACTCTGAAATTAAGTTTGTTCCTTTCTGGTGCAGTAGGTAGTTTTTAAAAAACGTAGCACAGCGACCAGCATCCCGGCATGCATTGCAGTGGAGGACGCAGTGTATGTGGTATAATATATAATGTATGTGGTAAAGAAAAGCTGTTGGGAGTGAGTTAAAACAGGATATCAACAACGGCTGAAGGAATGGACGATAACAACGCTGCAGCACAGCTTTTTTGGTACTCGCTACTGTTTGATGGATTACACGTGTTGCCTTGTGGCGATGATTAAAAGGTTAGTAGTAGCCTCCACACCATCAAATACCCCCTTGCTTCTAAATTACCACCAGCTGCTGTTGTTTAATTAGCATAGTACCCTTGGGTCCATTCAGCGGTCTCTTAGCAACATAGTGGAGGGCAGAGGGCGATAGTAAGAGGGTGAGGATTAAGTGAGATTGATGTAATTAGTCTTTATCCTCCTCGGTATACAGTTACAACAAACTGGCCCGGCCCAAAGGGCTCCTTTAATTTCCTCTAAATATCAGGAACAGAATCACCCAATGAGATACAGATAAACAGAATCTCTCGGCCATTAAATATACAACAGGGTTGTAAATGATGCAGCTAACCACAAAATGTTATGAAATTCATGATGTCTGAAGGTATCTCTAAAATGATGCTAATCTAAGATGTGGTCCGAGCCATTAAGAGCTGATTTGACTTATTTTTGGCAAAGTTCAATTTATTGCAAAGTGTGACACCTCACTAAAGGCTTATATTTCATGAAGCAGGTAATTTAAAATACTTTCACTACAAATGACCAAAATTGCAAACACAGCAAAGTAAGTTTGTGTCTAAACGTAGTAGCTAGGATTACACTTGAACAAATGCTTTACCTCGATGAAATATTCAAAAATCTACTTCCTTCAAAGTTGGTATTCTGGGAAAAGTTTGCAGAATTCCAGGGTTAGGTAATCCATGAAGGTATCTAGACTTCTTTATTTTCTTGAAGACGTTTTGCTTCGTTGATGTCGCTAAGCCCTATTGTAGACTGGTTGTTTTAATTAAATGCAGGAGTGTGTGACCTGGACTGAAATACTTTTGGAATTAGGTTTAGAGCTGCATTGTAGGTGAATGGAAAGGTGAAATCTGAGGTCTCCTCTTTTTAATGTTGCTTTTTCCTATTTAACATAGATGCCTTCCTTTACTCCTCTCTCAAACCATCTGTCTTCTCTGTCCAGAATGTGTACTTTGTCATCTTCAAACGTGTGCCCCTTGTCCTTCAGGTGTAGGTGGACTGCAGAGTCTTGGCCTGAAGAGGTGCCTCTCCTGCGTTGTGCCATACACTTGCGTAATTCTTGTTTAATTTCCTATTTGTATGTATATAATCCAAAGTGAGCCATTTCTTTAGGATTTTCACTTCAAGTTTACAACCCTAACCCCGGCTTTCCACTGGCTGTGAAAGCGGTCGCGTAACGTAATAACAGCGTTCTACCAGCAAGGTCGTTCCCAACCGGGAGCAATTCTGATGTGAAACGGGAGTGAAAGCGAATTGCAACACCACATGTGATTTCAGACGGTCACACACAATACACAACACGACAAACAACTGCATGCATGAAAAATGTCTGTGGGTTATTTTCTGTTCTGTTTACATCGGTCACAAAAGTTCACAGGAAATGACGTGCTGCATGTGACCTTTATTTTGAAAGTTTCCGGATGTTCTACACTGCTTTTGTTTTGGACTTCCTGTCTGGCTCGATCTAAACTGCAGAGTTTGATGTGTTTTAGAAGCGTAACGTGTCAAAAATAGACTCAAAACACAATGATAGCGTGCCCTCGCTTCTGGGAAGAGTTCAAAACGTCACATTGCTGCTGCTGGAAAGGAACTCATCTACTATAACTTTGGCTAATTGCTGCAAAGTACGTTTTGTAGTCATGGTCGTTTCACGACGCTTTGACATGAAGTGGAAAGAAGGGGTAATTAACAACAACAGCAGATACCTCGTGCTATCCTGAGCACCCTCATAATCCTGATGATGGTGGGATTGATGGGTAGGGATGCGTTGATCTCAATTTCTTCCAGAGTGATTCCCATTACAGACAGCAGCACTATGGCCAAGTCCAGCTGATTCCACCTGGACAAACAAGCATAAGCAGCAACTTTCTGGTTGACAAAACGCCAAGGTAACACAAGACAGAGCAATTATGTGCCTTTCAATTACTTAAATTAATGCAAGAGGTCCAAGTTATGTTAATTTAGTAATGAATATGAAAGTTTTATAAGGACAAACTTTTCCTGAATCTCTCAATTGGCAGAGGAACAGCTAAAAGCCCGCCACTACTTGAAGGACTTCTTTTTTCATGAATATGTATTTTAATAATGGAGTGATGGAGAAATGTGAAGTCAAGAAAAAAGAATATTTTGATTAATGCTTGTCTAAAATACCTTGTTTGTGGTTTTGGTTGGTCCCTTTGGTCATTTTTACAGTCTACTGCTAAGCATGAGACAGCCTTTCATTAGAGTTTTTAAAAGAAATGTTGTAGTATAAGTAAGAAAAACAATAGCTAATGAACTAAAAGGAAATTAAGTCATCCTACACCCAAACAGAAAACGTTAGTAATTTTCTAACAATCTGGATGGATTTTACTTTTAAGGATAAAGAATGCATCATGTAACATATTTTCCCATGATTTGCTGTGCATAAAATAATATTAAATGTGCAACTGTTGCAGTAATTTAGTAATTAGGCAAAAGACACATAACGGTAGGTTTGTGCTCCAAATGCATAAAGTACAGAAGAGCTGTACCTGTCCTTGAAGAAGCGTCGAAAGCCAAAAGCCACCAGCTTCAAAGATGCCTCAATCACAAAGGTGGAGGTGAAGAAGTAGTTACAGTATTTCAGTGCAGTCTCCAGAGACTGAATGAACAAGAGATTAGACAGACCAAGGTTTAAAAAAATGACACTGGAGCATATTTCTTCCACAACTTTCCTTTTGTTCACTTCATTATATCAACAATCTGCTGTTAACTTATTTGTTTTTAATTGTACTAGCAGAGCTGAAATTACAAAATAGCACATCAATTAATTATAAATGTTCTTGTTGCTCAGTGAGAGTTTTGTCAGTGGGAGAAAATTATCTAGCTATCAAATCTCTTTACATAGAAACAAGCCTAATTGAAAAAGACAACTAAATTATATGAAACCCAGCAGAGGAAACGGAGGACTTTTTACCTGCATTAGTATTAATGAAATATTCAGCTGGCATTAGATGTAGATAGAAAGAAGGTAATATGATGAACTAGCATTGGAGTTTAATACGGGCCTGAAGCACTTTTAGTTCTAGGTATATTTTGATGTCTTAGAATAGAAAAGAAAAAAATAACACAGGTTTTCTGGGTTGTATGCTACAGAAGTGTTGAGCCATTTCATTACTTTCATTGAATATTTTATGGCTGCTCATGTTGACCCTAAGTTATAGCTAAAGCCATCATAAGCAACTTGGAAAGGAAAAGTCGACTGAAAATAATGAGCCCAGTGGGTTATGGTTTTATGGTACCTTGGGCAGCAAATATCTCTGGTTGAAAGGGAGTTTTGTAAATAATAAAGTAAATTGGCTATAAGAAGGCCATTCTTCTTTCTGAAACTATGCTTGGGTCATCTCATGCAGTTTCTTTCATTTCCATCAGTCCCAAGACATCAGCTCAACAAAAATGCCAAATCTGAGTTTAAATTGGAAGCAAAATGGATATCCAAACCCCCAGGGCCTCATTCATCAACTGCACTTACGCACCGATCTGTGGGTATTTTGTGCGTAGGCACAAATTTACGCATAGTGTGGCATTTACCTTTTTGTACCTGTGCATAGAAATGTTCCTAAACGTAAGAAAATCTGAACCCATGCATACGAACAGCATCTAGTGGTAGAATGGGGAACTGCAGCACTGAATGTCTCAGTCATCAACGCATGTTCCTCATCCACAAATTATATTTACCCAATAAACCTAAAGACCGAATGACAGCTGAAAGGATGCTGCACTCAGACAACATTTCCAAATAAAACTATCTCAAAACAGAATGACTCCTTAACTGTGAAATGTAAAAGACAACGCGGTACTCTACGTTTTACCAGAATCATTCTTTTATTTGTTCCTGATGGGAACCTCTCCTCTGTCCCGACCGCGTTTATAACCTCTACAACTTTCTTTTGTGCTTCGGCAGCCAGTGTTTCGATCTCACTGTCAACAAAAATGTTTTTAATTTTTTCGAAAAAAACAAACAAAAAAACAAAACAAGGAATCCCCTCACATGCTAAGGATGTAGCGTGACCAAATTAATTGAGGGCTTTTCTGTATGTAAATGAGGTAGTACGTCTGAAGACATATTTTTATTCCCTGGCTTACCCAGCTGATATTGTTGAACCCTTAAGTTTGTCTGTTATTTTAGTTTTATTATTTTATTATTTTTTTTTTTACTTATTTAGTGACGCCGCTGTTCTAGTTTGGTGATCTGTTAATTTATCTTTTAAGTGTTTTTTTTTCTATTTTATGCTGCTGTCTTCTAGTTTGGTATCCTATTGTCTTGTAAAACACTTTGGGTTTAAATGTGCTTTATAAATAAAGGATGCTGATGATGAAAAGTGTGCAGCCCTTCACTGCATTTCAAAATTATATGAACTTTAATCTTGAGCAGGTTGTTGATGCAGTTACACTGTTTATAACATTTTTAAATTCCACAAAATATGTGATTCCTCAAAATGTGAAAGTCTAATCCTAATTGTTTTTGCTTTAATCAATCAGCTTTTTTATTTTTATTTATTTTCATTGTAAATTTGACCAGAAACCCTCATTGATTTTTATTAAAGAACAGTCTCCTGACAATCTTTCATTCCTTTTCACTAAATACTTCAAACATTACTTAAGGACTGACCAACCCTTTTTTGTGTAGCTGATAATGGACAAAAAACTATTACAAAAACAAAACAAAATAAACAGCGAACCATCAACCAATTTATTAAATATCATTAAGACATTTTTATGATTCCCATCTACAAAATTGGACTCACCTTAAAAACTGAGTTACTCTGTTCTTTCCCATTAAATAATAGGAAGTTTAATGTAAAATGAACAGATGCACAAAAAAAAACATCTTAATATATTATTTTATCAGAAAATAATGGTAGCCTGTGTGTACTTTCAACGTTTTTGCCTTTGGGGTAGCAGTAGCTCAGGAGGTAGAATGGCTTGTCTTGTGATTGAAGGGTTAAGGGATTGATCTTAGCTCCTTCCATGGGTATTCTGTTGTGTCCTCGGGCAAGACACTGCACCTGACTACCCTGTGTTAATGGCCCGATGCTGCAAAATGGCAGGATTGCCCTTTCAGACCACCCCAGGGTGGCTGTGGCTATGTAGTAGCTTACCATCACCGGCAGTGTGTGAATTAGAGCCCTGCACTGAAGCCCTAGGCCCTCGGGTCGGCCCGGCCCGACGGCCCTCGGGCCGGGCTTCGGGCCAACGACTGTGTAATTACCTCGGACACGGGCCGGGCCGGGCGCCTTTATTTTTATTCGAAATCATTAAAAAAAATTAAAACACTTAAACGCAGCAGTAGAGCCCTGTGCGTGACTGTTTTCTTCATCCCGCTCCGCTCCCGCTGAATTTCTGACCATTACAGCCTGCAACCGCAACGTACACTCCCGCCCGCACCTGCAGCGTGCATGTCTACTCCCGCCCACACCTGCAGCGTGCATGTCTACTCCTGCCCGCACCTGCAGCGTGCATGTCTACTCCCGCCCACACCTGCAGCGTGCATGTCTACTCCCGCCCGCACCTGCAGCGTGCATGTCTACTCCCGCCCACACCTGCAGCGTGCATGTCTACTCCCGCCCGCACCTGCAGCGTGCATGTCTACTCCCGCCCGCACCTGCAGCGTGCATGTCTACTCCCGCCCACACCTGCAGCGTGCATGTCTACTCCCGCCCGCACCTGCAGCGTGCATGTCTACTCCCGCCCGCACCTGCAGCGTGCATGTCTACTTCCGCCCGCACCTGCAGCGTGCATGTCTACTCCCGCCCGCAACCGCAAAACTCGGAGAAATTATTACCTCACAATAAAAGAGATGTATTGAGTTTGCGTCCTCAACATGTCATTTTATAGGTTATCCGCTTTCACAGCAGTGCTGCGCTCCGTTTCAATCAGGCTGCACAGCAGGATTTCCCCTCGTAGCGATATTTTCTCTAACTCTGATTGCTTCATGCTATAGATCGTTGGAAATCTGCTTTTATGTACTTTTAGGAACCGTTGGAATTATTTGAATCTGATCAGCCATTCAAAAGTTATAAAACGGAGCATTTTGGATGACAAACTCGCACGTCTCTGAATCTGTGTTGTGATTCGGTGCGCTCAAGACAGGAAATCCCGGTGGCTACCGTAATGTATTGTATATGCACGGAAAGCCCCATTTTTAATCTTTTCAGCACTTTTGGAATTTTAATGATATCTTGAACTAGAGCAGGGATCGGCAACCCGCGGCTCTTCCATCCATCTGCCGATGTGCTTGTAAAATAATGAATGGATATTTAAATAAAATGCTTTATATTTTACTGAATTAATTTTATATCTGTAAGTCAATTTTATGTGAAGATTGTCTGCGTAAACCTGAACAGTTCCAGCCCGGTCTTACTGTGAGACCGTGTTGGGTCACGCTTGTGCGTAATCATATGCGCTCATGAGCTGAAGAGGATGTGAGATTCTGGGCTTCTCCTCAGACGGCTCCTGGATGTGTCGCACATTGGAGACAGGAACAAGCGCTATTCAGCCAAAGTTTCATAATCAGGGAACATTTTCTAAGTGACAAGTCTCTCTGAGAGACAGGGTTTGGAAAACACTCGCATGCGCTTCTGCGACGCTCGGATCCTGCACGTCTTTTAACACATTGGTCAGGATTGACGCACTTTGTTTTCATTTAGTTGGTTAAAAAAAGTCGGGCTTGGGCTCGGGCCGGGCCAGAGAATCCTGAAAACCTTTTCGGGCCGGGTCGGGCTGGGGCTCCACCCCCTCGGGCCGGGCCGGACACGGGCTCAGATTTTAGGCCCGTGCAGGGCTCTAGTGTGAATGTGTGAGTGCATGAATAAAGTGCCTTAAGTGCCTAGAAAAGCATTATAAAATTCCAATGACTTATTTTCTATCTTGGAAAGTTTGAGCACTTCTGTCTTGACAGCTTCCCTATCAATAAAGGAATTTTGTGTTCATTGAAAAATTCCTGAAGAACAAAGAGATTAAAAGATCTCATTAATTTTTTTTAGAAAACAACAAAAAACAACAGCAATCATATATATATATATATATATATATATATATATATATATATATATATATATATATATATATATATTTTTTTTTTTTTTTTGGTATTGTATCCTTCAAGAGACTATTTTCAAGCATGTCTGGTATTTAACTCCAAACTTAACGTTGTCACCTGTGGCTGACTGTAGTGCTCCAGTGACATAGTGATCACATTGATGCAGATGATGAAGGTGATTACAAGGTCCAGGTAGTGGCTGGTGCACAGAGTGTGGATGGCCAGGCGGGTGCTACCATAGGAAGCATAGTATGGCAGCTTTTGGGCCTCTGCACAAAGAAGGAATTTAAAAGTAAACGTCACAGATAAATGAACAAGAAGACACAAAAGCTAAGAAGCCAGAACAAATAAAGACCCATTTATTGCCTAACATTGTAAAACTACTTCATAAAATTAAAAAATTCAACATAAAAATATGTTTAAGAATCACAGAGGAGATGTAATTAAGTATTAAAGGAAAGTGGATTTGCTCAAATTAGAGTAAAAAATGGAAAAATGAAGGGATGCAGTATTTTAACCCTCTGGAGGCAGGCGTTGCAGATTTGCAACATTAAAACCTACCTACCTGGTTACTCCACATACGTATTTCATGAGCATTTTTTTACGCTGAAGTACCCCTGAAGGACTTAGTTGTTCATCCATTTATCAAAACTTTATTTGAGCCTGAGAGCGTTAATGAGGAATAAGAGTAGGAGTAGCACAGTTAAAACGGGAGGATTCACAAAACTGTTTTTTCGTGCCAAAAATAGTGAAAATTAGGAGTAAAGCAAAGTAAGAAAAGGCAGGGAGTTAAACTGGGAGCTAATAACAGTGTAAAGAGATTATTGATGTGAACGAGAGTTTAAGTAGTTTTAGATTAGTTTAAATAAGAACTCATTTTCAATAAGGAGGTTAGCCTGTGCTATCTATCCAACAAGTACCTCATTTTTCTATATTTCTTCCTCATTATACCGTAAACTAAACCACTACAATATTTTTCAGGTGAGTGGTTAGTCGAAAACACTTTCTTATGTGAAATACATCTCTGTGTTCTCTTTGGTTCCACAAGTCCTTCTCAGTGAAAAAAGAAACCGGTTCCTCTCAAAGTGAGGTGACGTTCCTCTCATCTAGCTTATCTCTCCATCATTCCAACTTCCACATATCTACCTCTGATCCCTCAGTACTCTTACTTCTCCTCTTCTTTTCCATGCGGCGCTGGCGTTTTTCTTCTCTTCGCCTCGCTTCCTCCACCTCTTGGTGCTGCCGACACTTGTGGAAATTCTCCACCACCACGCCCACAAACATGTTCAGCACAAAAAAGCTGACGATCAGGAGGAAGGAGATGAAGTAGAGCAGCATCCACGGATTATTGTTGGTCACCGGCTGGGGAAAATGAAGGAGACGAAAGAGGGAGAGGAAAGAATTACGTGACTGAATGTTGGAAATGAACTGGTCAAGCTGGGCAGGGTCATTATGTCACAGATAGTAGGAAGAAACAATCAACTTTATAAATAAAAAAGGTAATGGAAAAGAAAATGAATGAAGAATAAGAACCTCGAAATGAAAATAACTGGAGACTAATAAAAGTTTCAGATGATGAAAAGATGAGAACTGATTAAGAAGACTTAAATGAGTCAATTACTTGGAAAAGCCTTTTAGCCAAATTCCACTAAAACCTGGAGATGATAACAATGGCTTCAGTTCGTGAGTAGAGTGTTTAATCAAAGGTTCGCAGCTTGATCCTAAAGCTGTATGTTGGACTTTTTTTGTTGAGTAGAACCTCTTTAGCCCTCTGGTTAATTTTCTTTTTGTTTGAAAATTGGAAGACAGAAATATGCCTGTCATGGTCTGCGTCAGCCCCCTTCCTTTATGTGCCTCCTGGTGTCCTCCATCCCTCTCTAGATTCCCTCTTGTGTCCCTTTGTTCCCCCAGCTCCTCTTGTGCTCTCTTAGCGCCCTCATGTGTCCTTGTCTGCATCCCTGTTATGTGTCTTATGTTGTAGCCCTTTGGCGCCCTCTTGTGTCCTTTTTCTGTGTGTCAGTTTAGTGTCTGATGTTATCTTTTTCACTATTTCCTCCCAGGTCAGCTCCAGCCTCGTTGTCCCCAGCTCAGTGTGTGTATGTACTATGTCCTCCTCCAGCTGGTTTGTGTTAGTCCTTCCCTCTGTCTTTAGGAAATTGTTGTTTAGTTTTGTGTTAAGGTATTTGCCATCCTCTGTTTCTGTTTTCCCCATTGAGTTGATTAGTGTCACCTGCCTTCCCTCCAGCAGCTCACCCCACACACCTGCTTCCTGTTTCCCTGATTGCTCCTCCCAGTGTATTTAAGCCCTGTCTGTCTCTGTGTTCTTGTCGGTCCATTGTTGCTTGTCAGCGTTATTAGTCCTGTCAGTCTGCTCGTTCCTCTGGTGTTTTTTGACTTCTTGGATTTTGGCTCCCTCCCTGTTCTTGGTTTATTCTTTATTTTGGACACATCCTACAATAAAAGGATTTTCTTTATTTTAATTCCTGCCTCGTGTCATCCTGGGTTTTGCAATTTGGGTCCTACTCCCCTAAACGTGACAATGCCAAATGAACCAAAAATGTCAAGGAACAGGATAAGCTGGAGAGAGAAGAAATCTGAGAGCATTTGAAGATGATCAATTGTAAATGTCAAGTGTTCAAATAATAAGAACATGAAAAAATCAATTCAAAATGAGTCAATGACATTGTAGAGGCTAATATTAAAAGGGGAGGTGGGGATTTAACATGTTGATTATGAATAATTATTTAGAAAAAAATTGCTTTCCCCCTCCCATCAGGGATGGGCATACATGCAGCATTCATTTTGTAACTCTCAGCAGAACTTCCCCTGAACTCCACACTGCACCTCTATACATTAGCAGTGCTCTGCTGCCATCTGGTGATCAGTTCAGTACACATGTAAAATGTTCTGTGTCTATTTACACTTTATCAATAACACATGTATTAATATTTGCACATGCCTATTAATCCCACAATGGTTACATTTATGATGAGACCAGAGTAATAAAATAGGCCTAGTTACAGAAATAAACTTATTAAAGTATGGTTATATCATCTGTGCCTCACTAAAACATGTTTTTTTTTTACTAAAAAATGCTTGGGCGCAATTGCGGATTAAATGATTTATAATGCAGTTAATCAAGATTAATTAATTAATTACAAGGCCTCTGATTAATTAGATGAACTTTTTAAACAAATCCCACCCCTAATATTAATACAAAAAAATGCTAAAATAAAATAAATAATAATAATAAGTACATATTTTAAATTTTCAAGGCTTCATTATTCTCCTCACTCACGTGTTGTCCGATTCAGAACCACAAATGCAGAAAACAAATTTGAATGCAGGCCAATCCAACAGTGAAGTGGAAAAGCTGTGTTTCTGCTCATCCTAAACATATTAACTGAACAGGTAATTGTGCTCATGTTTTATTTGGCCTGTGATGAAGCTAAGAGAAACATGCTGTGCTTGTGTGTGGCTAATTACAGGCTCCTGATTCTCAACAGGTCTCCTTGTTTGTGACTCGCAGCTAATTTGAGCTGCTAATGGGTGACTGCTTTGTTCGTTTCTGGAATGAGCTGTTTGGATTTGTTTTTGTAAATATAAAAACGTTTTGGAGCTAACTCAGGGAAACATAGCTGCTGTTTATGATTTGTATGTTTAACTCATGCATTTGCAGTTGCACAAATAAATGAATAAATTCATAATTTTGCAATCACACTCCCTTTTCTAAATAGGAAATCCCCATTAAGGGCATTGCAAGTCTAACAAACATCCTGCGTAAGCTTCTAGCCACAAAAGATGACAAGGGACAGAAAAGTCAGCAATAAAAGGAGACATTTTGTAGAAATGTGCAGGATGACTGGGTGCAGAGGTAGTCACTGAAATGAGTCATTAGGAAACAAAAGCCTCTAGTTCAGGTGCCATCAAACCATAGATGAGAGACACAATTTCATTTTGGTGAAAGCACAGGAGGAAGTATAAATGGGATTAGTCACTCAGTTCAGTGTTGGACAGCAGAGAGATCTCACCCAGACAAGAGGACACTGACTCATCCACATTAATTCACATTCTTATGAAAAATGGTTCCAAATTATGTTTAAATTATCTGATTCTTAGTGACTTTTTTTTTACTTTATGCAAACAATTTAAATGATTTTGCATTTGATTAAAAGTCTCTGCTTTTTCATCTTAGGGAATTATTTAATATTAGCATGAAAAGACAAAATTTGCTTTAATTTTGAAACTTGGGCTGTCAGCTGTCATTTGCAACTCAGAAAAACATTGAGAAACACTGATTTAAACCATGAAACAGATGTGTCTCTGGCGGTAGAGCAGGGTACCCAATTGTCCCAGCTTCTTCCTGAGAATTCTGCTGTTGTGTCCTTGAGCAAGACACTTCCCATGACTTGACTCTGTTGCTGGTGGTCAGAGTGGCAGATGATGGCAACCTTGCCTCCATTAGACAACCCCACAGCGGCTGTGGCTACCATGTGATTAACCATCACCAGAGTGTGTGAATGAATAATGGACTCTCTGTAAAGTGCTTTGGGTACTTTCAAAGGTGTCATATAAATCTAATCTGTCTGTATTAATATTAGAAAATTACTAAGAAATTCATTATTTACTGATCAACAACAAAGGCAGGTGGATATTGCAAATGTAGGACTCAATTATGGCATCCTTTGTTTTTAGTTCTGTGGACATCCAACTGGGTGGAGAGTCAAACGACCAGAAGGAAGGATTTTATCTCCCATCTGGATGATGAAAGCGGTACACCGCAATAGGAAGTGGTATAGCTGGAAATTCACAAATCCTGATTAGTCACTCTATAAAGTTGACTGTCATTGCAAAGTGAAGCCAGTGATTTAAAATATTTGAGGGTGAAAACAGCACAAAATCATCATATTTTCTCTTACCTGCTGGTCTATTCCCACTGCATCCAGTCCGTGATACATAATGTTCACCCAACCATCTTTTGATGCGAGCACAAATAGGGACATAAGAGCCTGTGAACACACACAAGCACACACACACACAGTTAATTATTTGTTTGCTACAAAATGCTGTTTCCAGTGTTAGGAATTTTAAACCACATTTGTGTAATGGAGTACTTATACTTTTAAGTGATGCTATTAACAGGGGTAGATGGCTATTATGTAAAATGACTGGTGGCAAAAACAAGCACCTACACTGATGAGTCATAGCATTATGACCATTGATACGTAAAAACCTCTGCTTATCTCATTACAATGGTACTTGGTAGAGGTGGGATATATTAACTGAGAGATGCTCTCTTCTATTCTGCAAAGACCTCTATTTGAATAATAGGCAGCAAATGATTACCCTGTTGTTGAAGTCGATGTGTTGCAAACTGCAAAGGCATACGAATTTGCAAGACTGATATGTGCCATTAGGGTAGACTGGCCAGTAACCAGTGAAGAAGTGACATGAAAATCAATGGTTGAAATGTGAAACCAAGTCTCATGGTGTTTCATTACATATTCATTTCAACAGTTAAAAACCCCATATTGCTGGTTGCAGTACAAAAATGCTCAAACATGCAATGCAGACGGGACTGTGTATGTAAGGCAAATGGTTCAAATAAAGGGTTAGGGTGCTGTTTTCTGGCCAATGTACCTCAGTCAACAGGCCAAAAGTATGAAAATATAAGTAGGCAGACTGGTTTTATTTTCAGATAATGATGAAATGATGTGTTGTATCTGTTGTGTCCCGAAAAACAATCAAAATGGGGGGAATTTGGATCAGATCTGCGCCCACATTAATGTCAGGACCCAAGCAAACTAACTTCTACCAAACGACCTAAAATTTGTTGCAGATTATAATGTGTAGTTTTTACCATTAATCTCTTGAAACATAAATCAAAAATGTTATTAAAATGGATGAAATGATGCACAGTTGTTAAAAAATATTGGCGGCTTTGTAACACATAACCATGGAAATTGGGTCTAAAATACATGGGAGCAGGTCTAAGTCTCTGGGCAATGCCATATTATGTGCCACGTTTCCTTCCACATAAGACTGTGAGGACAAAATGCATTTACTGATTTGTAACAAGTGGTTATAAAATTTTCACCAGTCATAAACGTTGTTTTACACATTTACCTTCTTGCTTGTTGCCATGGATGAAAGTGAGTCTGATGTTTTATCACTTCCTGGAGGTTGGATGATCTAACAAAGTCAATATTTGGAAATTGCGCACCCATTTGACCCTAATGGTCATCCGTTGATAAGGCCTTACTTGAACACAAAAATACCGCTTGCTTGCAATGATTTAGATGTGTGCTGCCCCATCACCATGGAAAATACACACTGTCACTAAACAAGAATTTCTTGATGACAATACATCTTTTGGCACAAAGGTCCTGCTAAGCTGTGTTTGAAGAAACGTTTGAGGAACACATAAAGTCTGAGAGGATGACTTTGCAACATAATTCTGCAGATAGAAATAACTTTGAGCATCGTTAAGATGGGTCTGTTGGCAATATCCTGCCTTTACTTAAGAGCATATTTAGTTGATTCCAGAGCATTATTTTTTGTTTTAATGCTTAGCTCTTGGACTGCTCTCACTTTCAAAAAGTCTCTCCTTGCATTAATATGTTTCACATGCTTTCTTCTACTCTTAAATTCATCTAAATTTCCCTTTCTAGAATTTGAGATCTTTCCCTCTTTACCAGGACATTTTGCTCTGCCCTTGTAAAACCCACTCTCACAGATTTTTCCTCTGCTGTTGGACTAAAGCAAAACGATCTTGCCAAAAGTCCCCCAGCCAATAGGAAGCCAGATACGGTGCTGATATTTGAGCTTGTCAGTCAGTGTGTTTACATGTGCATCTAAGTCGATCTAGGTCGATCTAAAGTAATACAACGGGAGCCTTTATCCTAGTGTACAAGTCCGTTATAACACCGAACTCTCAAATGAAGTCCGTTCCAGTCCGGTACAGTAGACGGCGACATGCACTCCTTCATGATGGCATTCTTCAGATTAGCTTAAAGACACACAAATGGTAAACAAACGCTGGCAGGAGTGAAGCAGACAAAGTCAAAACTGGATATGTACAATGGCCAAAGGAATGGACAACAACAACTCTGCAGCGCAGCTTACTTGGTACGTACTTTCCTGTTCGATGGTTTTACACGTGTTACTTTGTGGTGATCATGCAAGTTACCAGTATCAGCTCGGCTGACCCATTTACCTGCAGATGAGGTCAGCTTCCTACCACATTATCTGGGTTCTTCAGCACGATTCGAACCAGTTTGCTTCAAGCAAGACTAACACTTTTACATGCTTTAAAAGACCAATGTTTTTCAACTGAGGGCAATAGTTTGGTTTACTAAAGCACATGTTAGCGCAATTAATGTCTTCTTTTGGGTACCTGGTTACTCATTTGGCACTACTAACTAGGGCGTTTGGGGCGCTAAACTTTTTTCGTGGGAGTCTTGATAATATATGATATAAATAGAAGGGCGGTCATGGTATCACAGATAAACAATATTACCCAGGTGGAAGTTGGGTGTGTTTTTGTTAGAGTTCCATTGCTTCAAACTTGTACAATTGTTCGAAATATGCAAAACAGTTTGGGTGGAGCTCTTAAAAATTATGTTTATGTTTATGTGCTTAGCAGACGCTTTTACCCAAAGCGACTTACAATTTTATTTTTTTAACCTATAGGGCGTGTTGTGATCTGTGGGGGAAACCAGAGTACCCGGAGAAAACCCACGCATGCATGGGGAGAACACGCAACTCCACGCAGAAAGGCGAGTTTTGAACCTGCGACCTTCGTGCTGCGAGGCAACAGTGCTAACCACTGCACCACCATGCAGCCACAAATTAGACACAGTAAAGCCTTTATTTTCTCCGCTGTACCTGTCCAAGGTTGTCAAAGTTGTATTTGTGATGAACCCATCGGTAGTTGGCAGCCAGGCAGTCCGATTTATTAGTGATGTTCTTCACATCGAAACCCACACAGTAGTAGAACTTGCCTTTGAAGAGCTTGGAAACAAAAACAGACACCAAGGAGACATTGAGAGAAAGAGACAGACACAGTTTGATGAAGCCGTGATAAGGCTTGTGTGCAAACCCACTTATTTCAGGAAGCTTTAGAACTAGTCTCATAATAAGCATCAGTAATGAGTGTGAGGATGGTGCTCAAATGAAGACTCAAAACGTACTTGATGCCAACAATGAGGTTGTCCTTTGTGTGTGAAATCATGTTTTTAACTCTCATATTTAACACATGGAAAAAATAAGTGATTTAAATAATAACTATTGAAGCTGATATAATGACAGGAAAAGGTGGTTTGGAGGAATAACATGAGGGAAACAAAAACCTGCAAAATAAAGTTAACTGTTATGGGCTCGACTAGGGTTGTCACGGTAACCGGTATAGCGGTAAAACCCGGTAAAAAGTTGACAATAAAAATAACCGTCCAGTTTTTTAAAAACTATATTATCTCGGTGGGTTTACCGTGGCCGCGGTTTCGGCGCGATGACCCTTACCAGCCACCGTCGCTTCAGCTGAAGTTCCCGCGGCGCGCGCACACACTTTTTAGTTTGCAACGGCACCAAAACTTTGAAGCTGAAATAATGGCCGAAGGAGGAGACGGCAGCGCCCAGGACATCCATCAGCCCTCAAAGAAGACTAAATCGGAAGTATGGGCATATTTTGGATTTCTGAAAATGCTGAGGGACAGTTAATAGAAGACGGCTATCCCGTTTGCAGAACGTGCAGGAAACAAGTGTCTGCAGAAGGCAGCAACACTTCGAATCTAATGGCACATCTGCGTGACCATCACCCACGTCTCTACAGCCAGTGCAAGGTAAGTTAGCATTAGCATTTTAGCTTAAATGCATGACGTGAGGACTTTTGGTTGAGGGAGAATGCAACGAGTCACTATATCCTGCAGCCGCAGCGTCCTCTGCCAGCATTTAAACCGTGTCACGGACACCCTGTTGCTGGATGAAGCATCTTATTTGTTGATGATGAAGAGAAATATACAATTAGTTCCTTGTCATTGATTTGTTTACTTATTCAATGCCATTTATACTTGAACATTTGGATTTGATTACATAGTGTAGTAGTTATTTTAGTCATTTGTTTAAAGTGGATATTTATTTTAAATACATATTTTTTAAGGTTGACTTGTACAGCGCTCAAGTCAAGTGTGGACTGGAGTTTTAGATTTTCATTTTGATAATGAAGAAAACAAGTATATGAGAAAACAAGTGGTGTTTCTTTGATTTGTTTACATATTGTTTATGTTTTGAATGTTTGGATTTGTATCATTTAAACCTGCACTGACTACTGTAACATGTTCCAGAAAAAGAAGCTATTTGTTCCTTTACTTGTGAAAAGTTGCACTTTTGCTAAGGCTTTGTGTTATTTTAGCTTTAATAAACACTGTTAAACCTTTTCAAAACTATTTCAGTTTGTGTAGAACAGGACTATCAATGCTTTCTGAACATATGCAACACCGTTTAAAAAATACCGCGATAATACCGAAAACCGTGATAATTTTGGTCACAATAACCGTGAGGTTAAATTTTCATACCGTGACAACCCTAGGCTCGACACACGGGAGGCGACATCGCCTCTCCTCTATTCATGTTCAATGAGACATGCGCGAGAAAGCGATAATCGCGGGTTTCTCTCCTACCAAGCGAAACGCGAAAAACGTGCGTGTGAAAGTTTGCACTCGTGCACGTGTCGTGCACGTACGACCCAGCGACGCGATCCCAGAAAGTTGAAACATTTTTCAACTTTTCATCGCTGTCGCTCGGACGAGGACCAATCAATGGAGGTTTCATTCACTGACCAATGAGCGGACAGGATGCTCCGCACATCTCCGAGCAAACATGGAGGAGAAGTTGATTATTATTATGTTTTATAGTAAAATCAGAAGTAAGATTTCACATAACTCTAGCAGCACCTTGTGAAACATCATATCTACCGCTTTATTAACTCTGAACCGCTTAAATAACCTTAATTCCCTCCAACCTGACACAGCCAAGCAAAACAACGGAAGTTTCGATTTCGCAATGGAACAGAACGCGTAGACGGCTTTGCCGCTGCCGCGGATCGCCTCCCGTGTGTCAGGTAATAAAAGCGACAGCGACAAATTTCGCTGATCGCGGTCGTTTGTCGCCTCCCGTGTGTCGAGCCCATAAGTCTGCCGAGTGTGCAGTACTACCCACAATAAGGATAAACAAATTATGTTGTAAGTTTTACAGAACACACTAACTATGATATTGGTCTGATTTACCTTTTCAAGAAAGTCCCAAATAAACAATTTATTTTGAATCCTGCAGATTTTAAATTTAGGTCATGTCTGGAGATTGCCGAAAAAGTTTCAAAGCAGAGATTTTGTTGGCAGAAAAGTCAAGTGCCAACCCTGTAACTGGAGGGTTGTAGGTTCCAACCCCCGCTCAGTCTGTCGCAGTTGTTGTGCCCTGTGGCAAGCCACTTAACCTCCCTTGCCTGCTGGTGGTTATCAGAGGGGTTGGTGGTGCATGTCTACGGCAGCCTCATTTCTGTCAGTGTTCCCCAGGACAGCTGTGGCTACAATGTTGCTCATCACCACCAGTGTGTGAATGTGTGTGTGCATGGGTGAATGGCTGGTTGTGTTGTAAGGTGTCTTGGGGGGGGGGGAGGGGGGGGGGGGGTGTGTAGAACTCTAGAAGGGGCTTTATCAAATTTACCATTTTAACATTGTTTGCGGGTTGCAGCTCTTGTCTGCATGGAAACAGATATTTTTGGTGTGGAAATTGAGATTTCTATCAAAAAGCTGTAACTTCCATGTGATGTGACGTACCTGTGCATACAATATGTGCATATGCTGCAGCCAAGCTAAGAACATTCATTCACTGTGTTTTGATGTAATTAACATAAATGATTCTATTGGTGTAACACTGAATATTTCAGATTTGTCAAAAAAAATTTTGTGAATGTATTTTTTCTACAGATACGGACAGTGTCTTAAGCCCATGTGAGGTATTTAATAGTCACAAAGAAAAGTTTAGGTTGAGGGCAACTTGGAGCAATCGTGAAGATGTTTTCTGTACCTGAACACCAAGAATGCCAAAGATGATAAAAAAGGCGCAGCAGATGAGGACGATGTTTCCAATGGGTTTGAGGGAAGTGATCAGCGTCTCAACCACCAGCTTCAGCCCCGGAGCCCTGCTGATCACCCTTCATAAAGGGAAGCAGAGAAACAACAAGTTCAATAATGAAATGCTGAGAGAAAGAGACAAACTTTCTCATTGAATGAAGTAAAACCCCATAAAATATGAATATTTAAAAGAAGACATCTCGTTCTTGTCAATGTCAAAAAGCATTCCAATTGACTTTTATCCTTAGGTATAAGACAGTTGTATTAGTCTGGTCATGCGCTAACTCAAATCTTTTTCATTGGTGTACACAATACCGGCACATAGACTGAAAATACAATTGGGAGAAACACGTCACAGAATTTTTAACAAAATTGGAAATTGTTGCATGTAATATCATTTGTCTGCACATTAGCTCATTAGTGTCTTCTGAGCTGTCAGATGAGTTCATGCACTAATTCCCCAGCTTCACTGGATGCCAGTCAACTTCAGAGTTCAGTTCAAGAACCTGGTTCTGGTTTTTAGAGCCTTACATGAACAAAAGCACCATCATACATTGGTGACCTTCTCAGTCCCTACACCACCAGCAGGTCCCTACTGGTTGTGCAGCGCACCAGGCTAAAGACCAAAGGTGAGAGATCATCTGCTGCTGAGGTCCCCAGACTCTGGAACTCTCTCCTCCTGAGCCTGAGATCAGTGGACTCAGTGGTCTCCTTAACTCATTCACTGCCATTGACGACTAAAGTTGTCATTTGCATTTTTTTTTACTGTGTGGGTGTCGGAACGAGTCCCCGCGCCGAGAGAACAAACTTCTCAGCTCTAACGCCGATCTTCATCCGCATACGTCACACGTCACATGATCAGGAAGCAGAAAATTCATGTGTTAGGAGATCGTTTTGGGCTGTAAAAAAGTGAGGCGCGAACCAGAAAAGCTTCTGCCGATCACAATTCAACAACGGATTATGAAAGAACGGATAACGCTCAAAATGCATAGATTCTTCCTGATGTAAGAGGTGAGTCTCCTCTTTGTTTTGGTTGTCTTGGCATCTACATCATCCTCGCGGGAAACGTTCTGTGACTCTTAAAAAAACAGCGAAGGGCTTTACCGATCAGGAAACGGCTGGCAGTGAATGAGTTAAAAAGCAGCTGAAGACTCACCTGCTCAGGCTGGCTTTGGTGTGACCTTCATCACCACCCTCTCCTTATTCTGCTCTTTCTACGTATTCTGCCTTTCTCGGGATCCACTGATTCCCCTCTTTCCTATTCATTTTCTCTCTCCTTTTCCTTACATTTTTTATCACAATTTTTATTTTTTGTCTTTTTATCCCTCCCACTGCCCTGATGGGTGTGACCCCGCAAGGAAAGTTGATCATTGAGCAGGATTGGTTTATCTATTGAGGTCCACGTGGCAGGGGTGAGGTGGTGCTCACTCCTCACCCCTGCCACGTGGACCCAAGGGATAAACCATCAACCCTGCTCAATGATCAACTTTCCTCGCGGGGTCACACCCATCAGGGCAGTGGGAGGGTTAAACATTTTTAATCTTTCTTCTTTGTTGTTATATTTGAAAAGTTTTGTCGATTGTCATGATTTACATCTTGAGAGGCCCTATATAAAAGATTGTTTGTTTTCTTTCTTTCTTTACTCTTCACTATGCTTGAATACATCTAGTTGGGCAGTGCCGTGTTTGAGAAATGGAAAATGCTTCACAAAGTAAAATAAATTCGATTCAATTCAATTCAATAATACTTTATTAATCCCAGAGGGAAATTCAATTAATTAAATCTCTAAGCTTCTGGACTTTGTTTGGGCTTAGGTGTCATGAATACATAATTGTTTTAGTTTGTACAAGCAAAATTAGCCTACGATAAAAATGTATATTTTATTTGTTTATACTTGCACATAACCACTTATAAGTAATAGAAAACTTTTTGAAGTTGCTTAAAAAATCAGAAGATTATATTAGTGAGAAATTCTGCCTACTTTGTTAGCTTGTGAATTTTTGTTTAAATTGGTCTTCAGTGGTCCTGCTTTTAGCTACTATGCTGCACACAGATGGGATTGTCTTCCTGATGACCTCAAATGGGCCCAATCTCTAGTAATCTTTAAATGAAAATGTAAACCTTTCATGTGCTCATCCGCTACTGAATGAATGTTTTTATGTTGCACCTTCTGCACTGTAACTGCTCACCCTTTATCTTTGCCTTTTTTCTGATTCTTTAATCTGAAATTAAGTTGGGATTCTAATTTGATCTAAATTAATTTGTGTGTTTTAATTATGCTGCTACGCTATTTTAATGCCTGTGCTAATCTTGCTTATGGAAATGACATTGAATTCCCTCTGTGGATGAAATGTGCTATTTAAATAAAGATGTCTTACCTAAACCCATTGGACCTTTTATGTTAAATTAGTATACCCCTGTGAGTTCTGTGCTCTTGGCCATAGAATTGAATGAAAATCTCATGAATATTTCATTGCCCAACCAATGTCCATATAGCAATGTCAAATATGGAAAATGTTCAAATATCTCTGATTTGTTTACAGTTGTTTTTCATCTTATCACATTCGTCAGCTTAGGATGCAGAAACATCACTTTGCAAGTGAGTGTCAAAAAGAAACAATTTAGGCCTTTTTAATGTGGCCAATCTAAATCTTTAACATGAACTATCCTCTGCTGAAGTTTGGGGATTTTTGCTGTTTTCCTATAACAGAAGGCATCAAAAGCCATGAATACAGAGACAGCTGAAGGAGAGGAAAAACTGCCTGAAAACAGCAGCTAATTGACAGCTTTTCACTAACAGTACACACTGACTGAGTCAGATCATTCTCGCAGAGCTGACCCAGTAACGGAGTGTCCAGATTGAACTCTGACTTTTTCCCTGTGTGATCTGGACAGTCTCCAGACCCTCCATGAACCTCAAAAGGATTAGGTTGGTAATAGATGGAAAGATTGTTCCCTATTTGACAGAGGGTTATGTCCCGGAGTATTTTTACTTGGCTGGTACCAATAGTTGGAGTCTACAGCATGTTGCCTGGCAACTGCTCAGAAAGATGAGGTGCTGTTGGGAGGTTTTCATTAGTTTTTGTTTGAACCAGAGAAGATGTTTATCATCATCTAGCTACAGTTAGGTGACTGTTTTTGGAGGGAACTTACTTTTTTCCCAATTTTTGAATTGAGATATTGGCAACAAGTATTTCTGAAACCGATTTGATTATTTTTAAAGGAAATTTCATATTGTGTAGAAAAAAACACTAAAATATGATGGTTCATGCCAACCTGAGAGGACGGAGAGTCCTGAGCAGCCTGAGGACTCGTAGGACTCCCAGGATCTTAGCCCCTCCCGCCATTGAGACCACAATATCAATCAGAGACACAAAGACCAGGAAACCATCCAGAATGTTCCAGCTGCTCCTCAGATAGGCCCTCTCCCCCAGGTACAGACCCATGGATACCACCTGAGCAGGTAAAGGAAGATAAAGGAGCACACTGGTGTCTAGATTTTCATATGTAGACTTCATTTAAGCTCTTGTTGTAGTAGAACAAAAATATTCCAAAAAATACCAGAGTAAAAGTTTGTTTTTGAGAGAAAATTGTAAAAACAAACTGTTCAAATTTGAAGAAAATATGAAGAAATATGAAAGATGAGCTTTATCTCCCACAGTTCGTTATGAGAAAGTCAGTATTCAGAAGAGAGGATTTGAAGAGAGGAAACCAGAAGACAGAAAAGTAGAGGACACAGGAGGAAAAGCAGAAGGTGATTTAAATTAAATCTTGTCTGTAGGAGCGTGAGTTTTCACTCCAAGTATCCATGTTTAACACTTGGTCTCAATTATGATGATTCAAAGGTAAAATCAAAGTCATGTGGACTTGTTTGTGAAGTTGATTAGCTGCTAATGTAGGCACTGAATTTTGCTGACAATGCAACAAGTTAAAGTTTGTTTAATTAAAAATGAAGTAAAACAATTAGCATTTGGTTAAGACTGCATGCCTGCATGAAGTGCACAATTTCACTCTTACAGATGGCATAAAATCTTCATTTATCACAGATTTTTGTAGCTTAGACTCACAAAAACTCAGAGCAGAGCAACAAATATATTTATTATATAAGGAACATCATATATCTTTCTGTTTCCTGGTTACAGTCGGATGGATGACCTCAGACGGAAGAATCTCTGAGGCAGACTGATTGATGAAGGAGTGAAGAGAAACCACTAGAAAACAAGAGGGTTTTACTGTAATGGGGACGGCAAAAAACTTGTGAGTAAAGTGTGAAACAGATAACAATCAGACACATGAAAGGCACAAATCAAGGGAGAAGAAAAGAAGACAGACAAAACTCAAAAGGAGAGAAGAAAAAGTGGTGAGATCAAAAAGTGTTGATGTGGTTGGATGAAATTACATGGCAAGAGGTTTGTGTGTACCAGTCAGGCTAGCAGGCTAAACAAATGTAAGAAAATGGAGAATTATCTATTCGGATGATAGAGATTTAATCTGAAAAACTTGGCTTTAAAACATTTACAAAATGCAGATTGTAGATTATTTACTTATACAGTGGGACAAAAAAGAATTTAGTCAGCCACCGATTGTGCAAGTTCTCCCACTTAAAATGATGACAGAGGTCAGTAATTTACATCATAGGTACACTTCAACTGTGAGAGACAGAATGTGAAAAAAAAATCCATGAATTCACATGGCAGGATTTTTAAAGAATTTATTTGTAAATCAGGGTGGAAAATAAGTATTTGGTCAATAACAAAAATTCAACTCAATACTTTGTAACATAACCTTTGTTGGCAATAACAGAGGTCAAACGATTACTATAGGTCTTTACCAGGTTTGCACACACAGTAGCTGGTATTTTGGCCCATTCCTCCATGCAGATCTTCTCGAGAGCAGTGATGTTTTGGGGCTGTCGCCAAGCAACACGGACTTTCAACTCCCTCCACAGATTTTCTATGGGTTGAGGTCTGGAGACTGGCTAGGCTACTCCAGGACTTTCAAATTCTTCTTACGGAGCCACTCCTTTGTTGCCCGGGCGGTGTGTTTGGGATCATTGTCGTGTTGGAAGACCCAGCCACGTTTCATCTTCAAAGCTCTCACTGATGGAAGGAGGTTTTGGCTCAGGATCTCACAATACATGGCCCCATTCATTCTGTCCTTAACACGGATCAGTCGTCCTGTCCCCTTAGCAGAAAAACAGCCCCAAAGCATGATGTTCCCACCCCCATGCTTCACAGTAGGTATTGTGTTCTTGGGATGCAACTCAGTATTCTTCTTACTCCAAACACGACGAGTTGAGTTTATACCAAAAAGTTCTACTTTGGTCTCATCTGACCGCATGACATTCTCCCAATCCTCTGCTGTATCATCCATGTGCTCTCTGGCAAACTTCAGACGGGCCTGGACATGCACTGGCTTCTGCAGCGGAACACGTCTGGCACTGCAGGATTTGATTCCCTGCTGTTGTAGTGTGTTACTGATGGTGACCTTTGTTACTGTGGTCCCAGCTCTCTGCAGGTCATTCACCAGGTCCCCCCGTGTGGTTCTGGGATTCTTGCTCACCGTTCTCATGATCATTTTGACCCCACGGGATGAGATCTTGCGTGGAGCCCCAGATCGAGGGAGATTATCAATGGTCTTGTATGCCTTCCATTTTCTGATAATTGCTCCCACAGTTGATTTTTTCACACCAAGCTGCTTGCCTATTGTAGATTCACTCTTCCCAGTCTGGTGCAGGTCTACAATTCTTTTCCTGGTGTCCTTCGGAAGCTCTTTGGTCTTGGCCATAGTGGAGTTTGAGCGACTGAGGCTGTGGACAGGTGTCTTTTATACAGATAATGAGTTCAAACAGGTGCCATTAATACAGGTAATGAGTGGAGGACAGAAAAGCTTCTTAAAGAAGACGTTACAGGTCTGTGAGAGCCAGAGATTTTCCTTGTTTGAAGTGACCAAATACTTATTTTCCACCCTGATTTACAAATAAATTCTTTAAAAATCCTGCCATGTGAATTCATGGATTTTTTTTTTCACATTCTGTCTCTCACAGTTGAAGTGTACCTATGATGTAAATTACTGACCTCTGTCATCATTTTAAGTGGGAGAACTTGCACAATCGGTGGCTGACTAAATACTTTTTTGCCACACTGTATGTATGCAGTTAGTCAGTGGTAAGGTTGATTGATAGTGAGGTATCCCAGCAAATCCACAATATTCCATGTTCTTTCAAACCCTTTTGAAAATTGTATCCCAACTATGTGGAAATAAAAAGAAAAGGATGCCTAGAACATATATTATTTTTCATTTGAAACTGTTTATTGACCTTTTGTAAAACACATAAAACATTGTTGGAGCTCACAATGGCCCAGGAGCCCTGGTAAATGGGTAAACACAACTCTAAAATAAGGTCCCACAATTGCATGCCTGGTTTGTCCCACACACTTGACCAGGACATGAATATTAAATGAGCTGCATGCTGTTTGGCCGGTTGATGCCAATGAAGGAATGGTGCAGATTTTGGTAAAAAGTTTGGTTAAAAATGAAATCCAATTGTAGTCTGTGGTGACAAAACAATCTTGGGGGACTAAAAACCTGTGGTAACTCTGGTGTCACATCCCATTTCAAACATCAATTTTCAATTACACACACACACACACACACACGCGCGCACGCACGCACGCACGCACACACACACACACACACACACACACACACACACACACACACATATCCTACATCCTACATACAGATAGCATAGCATCCTACATAAAGATAGCATAGCATAGCATAGCCTCTTAATTTATAAAGCACTTTAAAAACAATAAAATGATTGACCAAAGTGCTTGACAGGGCCGGCTTTGGCGACAGGCGACACAGCGGCCGCCTGGGGCGCCATCTGATGGATAGGGTGCAAAATAAAAAAAATTTAAAAAAAGTTAAATTTATAAATTTATAAATCAAATTTATCTTTGAAATATGAAATGCACTCTCTACATACTCAAAATTCCCCTCTGAATTGACATGAAATTAAAACATCAATATTTAAATTCTAATGATCTGGCTGCATGACGAGCTCCCGCTTGGGCCACCGCTCCGATGCATTTGACCGTTAAGGGTGCCGTAGATCATGTGCGTGGGCAGCACTGTAGAAGGACATCCTGTTGTCGCATTTAAACTTTTGATATTTTACGATGAAAAGAACACCTAAGCCATCGGGATCAGCATTCAGAAAGCGAAGGAAGGAGGAAGAAAACAACGGGCCCAAAGCAGAGGTATGTAGACTTTATAAATTTGGCAAAGGAACTTTTTGCGTTACAATTTTAGCTAACTGCCTCTCCTGCCACGCACGGCCCACGGACGGACCCTCGCTAGCTGTTTACACACACAATACAGTATCTGTAACTTTAACCAATTCATTTTACTTTTGAATCGTCATGCCCAGATGCAGTGAGACAATATCTGCAGCCACGACAGGCACCTGTTGACACCACGGGGGCGGGACTGTTCTACACCTGTTGAGTCTCACTGTGATGATGAAGAATGTAAGATTTTTTACTGGTTTTTAGAGTATGATTGCAGCCTTTTTATGAACTTCGATTCAAGTTTTAAGTACGCATACAACATGAATTTAGTATTTGTATATCAGAAGAACGTTAGGTGTGGGTGTAGCAAAATTTCAACTTTGTCCGACACATCGGGCGGGCGGCACAACCGTGGCTGTGGCGGGGACTCCCCCGCTGACCGTTGGCAGCGGGGGAGTCCCTGCTGCCGACGGGCCCACGTCAGTGTTTCCTTGTTTAATAAATGAAATCCTCAGAGTGCCTCAGATCACCGGACCTTCTTCCTCATGTTCTACTATTTATTTGATGCTGAAGAGCACCTGAGAGTGAGACATACGTTTTTTCAAATATTCCCCATGGATGCACTCACTTCCACCTGTTTTTGATCATTTTATTCATGTTTTCATAGAACAGATTAAAAAAAGATCAATAAAATAAAAAGTCCAGTAACATTAAAAATAATGAAGAGCATCAATGCACATGGCTGAGGAATACTGAACGTGAAAGTGGCGCTGTTCTTAATTCATGCATCAGAGGGTTAAGTGTGTGTGTGTGTGTGTGTGTGGGTGTGTGTGTGGGTGTGTGTGTGTGTGTGTGTGTGTGTGTGTGTGTGTGTTTTCACAGAAGAAGAACCCAACACCAGCAGACTCAGTGCTCCAATCCAACAGCCTGAAGAGACGCCATCATCAGCTTCAACAGATGTGTGTGAACATGTAGGAGCTGCTGGCCCCGTGGATCCTGCTGACTGGCCACAGCAGTAGAAAAAAATGGAAAGTAGAACTTTCTTTATGATGACACTTTGATGTTTGAGTTTTGCTTTTGATTGCACAGTTGTTGATTTTGCATCCCCCCCCCCCCCCCCCCCCAATGACATTTGCACAACATTTTGAGTTGTTGGT